GTGGCTGTCGCTTATGACGTATTTGACTAGTGTGGTCCAGCAGCGTTGCCAGATTTTTGATACTTTGGGCAGGGAAGAAACTAGCGTTACCGCTATTAAATGGAAAATATACTAATTGTATATAGAAGCTGTTTGACTAACTTGATCCATTTAATCTTTTATTATACTTATTTCTAGGTAGCTTAAAGGGATTAACTTGGGCCGAACCTAATCCTTTATGAACTGATAAGAGGAGTGCGTAGGAAGTGCAGTCAATCTACCTGACGCTATTTCTTACAATTGTGACTGTACCTCCTTTAGGGGAACGTCACACGATCAGTATTTACTGATCGTTTCTTCAGTGTCAGAAGATTTATACGTAATCTAATACATGGTCGATGAATATCACATTCCATGGTAAATATTGACAAATGACAGTAAATATTTGATCGTGTGATATTCGCATACGCTATCATAGTAGTGAATGTGAAGCAATTTATAGAAGCTACAACTATTTAGTGCCCTTTCTGAGCTCAACGGTAGGACCTTGGATATATCGTGTATTACTGAACAGAAAATAAGTGACTCCATTCTTGGAATAAGAATGCTCTTGTCTGAAAGCTGAAACAATGTTAAGAACGGCGTTCAGCAAACTAGAATCTACTGGCTTTGAGTTGGTACGTTGATGAAATTCATATCCAGGTACTCAATAAGGCTCAATAAAAAAATAATTAAGTTTTTGAATACTTGACGACAAATAAGGGTTTATTATATCAGACCAAATAGCCAAAAATGTTTCAGTGAAAAATTATATAGGTGGGATTTAGGTACTGGTATAAGGGTTTTTGAGAGTTATGGATTTTTTATACTGGAGCGATGAAGTTCAACAGAAAGTCAGCGATAAATCTCGTTGGGAAAGCTTGATCAGGAGCTATGCAGGAAAGCTCGATGAGAAAGCTTAACGGGAAAGCTTAGCAGGAAGCACGACGTGAGAGATTGTTCAGAAGGCAAGGACATGAAAGCTTGGCGAGTAAGCTTGGCAGGAAAGCTCAGTGGCAAAGCCGGTGGGAAAGCTCTTCGGGAAAGCTCAACCAGAACGCTTGATGGAAAAGCTCAGCGGGACGCTTGACGTGAAAGATTATTGAAAATGCTTGGCGACAAAGTTTGTCGAGAAAGCCTGTCCAGAAAAGAAGGACATGGGAGCTTGGCGTCAAACTTGACGGGAAAGCTCTGTGAGAAAGCCAGTAAGATAAAACTTGTCGGGACAGCGTGTCCAGAAAGAGCTCAGCGCAAAAGCTCGATGAGGACAGTTCACGGGAAAGCTCAGCAAGAAGCTTGACTTGAAAAGCTGTCGAAAAACCTTGGCAACAAAGCTTGTTGAGAAGATCTTGTTAAAAAAGGGAGGACATGAGAGCTTGACGAGTAAGTTTGGTAGGAAAGCTCAGTGGACAAAGCCGGTTGGAAAGTTCGTCGAGAAAGCTCAACCAGATCGCTCGATGGGAAAGCTTGACTGGAAAGCTCAGCGGGACGCTTGACGTGAAAGATTGTTGAAAATGCTTGGCGACAAAGCTTGTCGAGAAACCTTGTCCAGAAAGCAAGGAGATAAGAGCTTGGCGAGAAAGCTTGCCGAGAAAGCTTGTCCAGAAAAGAAGGACATTAGAGCTTGGCGAGAAAGCTCCGCAAAGAAACTTGTCGAGAAAGCTCGACGATAAAACCCGTTGGAAAAGTTCGACTAGAAAGTTTGATGAGAAAGCTTGACTGGAAAGCTCAGCGGGACGCTTGACGTGAAAGATCTTGTTCAGAAAGGGAGGACATGAGAGCTTGACGAGAAAGTTTAGTAGGAAAGCTCAGTGGATAAAGCCGGTTGGAAAGTTTGTCGGGAAAGCTCAACCAGAACGTTCGATGGGAAAGCTTGACTGGAAAGCTCAGCGGGAAGCTTAATGTGAAAGATTGTTGAAAATGCTTGGCAACAAAGCTTGTCGAGAAACCTTGTCCAGAAAGAGAGGACATAAGAGCTTGGCGAGAAAGCTTGCCGAGAAAGCTTGTCCAGAAAAGAAGGGCATTAGAGCTTGGCGAGAAAGATTCGCGAAGAAAGCTCGACCAGAAAGCTTGACCGAAAAGCTCAGCTGGAAGCTTCACGTGAAAGATTGTTGAAAAAGCTTGTCAAAAAACTTGGCGATGGAGCTTGTTCAGAAGGGAAGGATATCAGAATTTGGCGCGATAAAACCCGTTGGAAAAGTTCGTCCAGAAAGTTTGATGATTAAGCTTGACATGAAAGATTTGTTGGAAAAGCTTTACGACAGAGCTAGTCCAGAAAAAGACACAAGAGCTTGGCGAGAAAGTCGCCTGGCGGGGGGGGAAGCTCGGCGAGAAATCCCTTCGGGAAAGCTCGATCTGAAAGCTTGACTGGTAAACTCAGTGGGAAGGTGGACGAATTTGAACGATTGTTGAAACAGCTTGACGACAAAGCTTGTCGAGGAAACTTGTCCAGGAAAGAGGCGCTTGGCGAGATAGCACGGCGAGAAAGATCTACCGGAAAGAGCTCGACGGGAAACTCGATGAGAAAGGTAATCGGAAAGCAATAAGCTTAACTTGAAAGGTTGTCGAAAATCCGAGAAGAGCTTCTCCAGAAAAGGACATAAGATCTTGGCGACCGCCTGACGATGAAGTTCGGTGAAAAGGCAGTCGAGGAAGCTCGTCGGCAAAGTTAGATCAGAAAGCTTGGCGGGGAAGCTCGATGAGAATATTGTCCAAGAAACCCGGCGACAAAACTTGTTTAGAAGGAAAGCACATAAGAGCTTAGCGGCAAAACTTGGTAAGGAAACTCAACGGGGAAGCTTGACCAGATAAGCTCGATGAGAAAGCTTGATTGCAACGCTCAGCAGAAAGCTTGACGTGAAAGATTGTTGAAAGCTTGGCGACAAAGCTCATCGAGAAAATTTGTCCAGAAACGAAGGACGTGAGATTTTGACGTAAAGCTTGACTGGAAAGTTCGGTGAGAACTCCGGTGACAAAACTCGTCGCGAAAGCTCGACCAGAAAGCTCAATGGAAAAGCTTGACTGGAAAGATGAGCTAGAAGCTTGACGAGAAAATTATTGAAACAGCTTGGCGAATAAGTTTGTCGAGAAAGCTTGTCCAGAAAGGAAGGACATTAGAGCTTGGCGAGAAAGCTTAACGGCGAAGCCGGCGTTACAACTCGTAGGGACAGCTCGATGAGAAAGCTTGACTGAAAAGCTGAGCGGGAACGTGAAAGATTGTCAAAAAAGCTTGGCGACAAAACTTGCCGAGAAAGCTTGTCCAGACATTAGAGCTTGGCGAGAAAGCTTACCGAGAAAGCTTGTCCAGACATTAGAGCTTGGCGAGAAAGCTTGTCCAGAGATTAGAGCTTGGCGGGAAAGCTTGCCGAGAAAGCTGGTCCAGACATTAGAGCTTGGCGAGAAAGCTTGCTGAGAAAGCTGGTCCAGACATTAGAGCTTGGCGAGAAAGCTTGCTGAGAAAGCTGGTCCAGACATTAGAGCTTGGCGAGAAAGCTTGTCCAGAGATTAGAGCTTGGCGGGAAAGCTTGCCGAGAAAGCTGGTCCAGACATTAGAGCTTGGCGAGAAAGCTTGTCAAGAAAGCTGGTCCAGACTCTAGAGCTTGGCGAGAAAGCTTGCCGAGAAAGCTTGTCCAGACATTAGAGCTTGGCGAGAAAGCTTGGTGGAGTAATTCGGCGAGAAAATTGGCCCAGAAAGCTCTACCAGAAAGAGCTCGGCACGAAAGCTCGGTGAGAAAAGTTAGCGAGAAAGCTAAGCAAGAAGCTCGACTTGAAAGGCTGTCGAAAAAGCTTGGCGAGAAGATCTTGTCCAGAAAGGAAGGACATGAGAGCTTGACGAGAAAGCTTAACGGCGAAGCCGGCTTTAGAATTCGTCGGGAAAGCTCGATGAGAAAGCTTGACTGAAAAGCTGAGCGGGAACATTGACGTGAAACATTGTCAAAAAAGCTTGGCGACAAAGCTTGTCCAGACATTAGAGCTTGGCGAGAAAGCTTGCCGAGAAAGCTTGTCCAGACATTAGAACTTGGCGAGAAAGCTTGGTGGAGTAATTCGGCGAGAAAATTTGCCCAGAAAGCTCTACCAGAAAGAGCTCGGCACGAAAGCTCGGTGGGAAAAGTTAGCGAGAAAGCTAAGCAAGAAGCTCGACTTGAAAGGCTGTCGAAAAAGCTTGGCGAGAAGATCTTGCCCAGAAAGGAAGGACATGAGAGCTTGACGAGAAAGCTTAACGGCGAAGCCGGCGTTAAAATTCGTCGGGAAAGCTCGATGAGAAAGCTTGACTGAAAAGCTGAGCGGGAACATTGACGTGAAAGAGTGTCAAAAAAGCTTGGCGACAAAGCTTGCCGAGAAAGCTTGTCCAGACATTAGAGCTTGGCGAGAAAGCTTACCGAGAAAGCTTGTCCAGACATTAGAGCTTGGCGAGAAAGCTTGGTGGAGTAATTCGGCGAGAAAATTTGCCCAGAAAGCTCTACCAGAAAGAGCTCGGTACGAAAGCTCGGTGAGAAAAGTTAGCGAGACAGCTAAGCAAGAAGCTCGACTTGAAAGGCTGTCGAAAAAGCTTGGCGAGAAGATCTTGTCCAGAATGGAAGGGCATGGGAGCTTGACGAGAAAGCTTGGCGGGGGATTTCGGAGAAAATATCTTCGTGAAAGATTGTACATAAGGAAAGGACATGAGAGCTTGACGAGAAAGCTTGGCAGAAAATCCCGGTGGGAAAGCCTTCAAGAAACCTGGCAAGAAAAGCTTGCCGAGAGAGTTCAACAAATAGCTTGTTGAAAAGGCACGGTAAGAAAGCTTGTCGACACGTTTGGTGAAAAGCCTATAAACCTCGTGTATGCCGTGTCAAAACAAAAACGAAATGTTGCTGCTTCTATTCAGTTGCTGATTGACTAGGCATTTTTGCTTTGCAGGACAACGAGATCGCGTGGATCTGAAGCTCGTAACATGGACTAAATTAAGTTCCAATAGAATATATATAACATAGCTTCTGTAAGGCATAACCTCGTCCTTCTAGACAAGCCGTATCGTATCCAAAGCACAGAGCCGCGAGTGTAAATCCACGCGGGACGCCGCGCGGCTACCCACCAACTCAGTTCCAGTCCAGCTTTCAGTCGCGCTTTCTGTCAGCAGGAAGCCGAGATCGGCTCAGCGCGGTTCACTCAGACCACCGGCTTTCTTTTCAAACGCGGCGCGAACACGAAACCATGTCTTATTGAACATATTTTGGGAACATGTGGGGTCGCGTCTTGTTATTCTTGGTTGTCTTGGGGTACGCGGGTAGTCAAAGGCGGAACTTTTCCGGCTTTCCATGTCCGGCGAAGTGCTATTGCTTCAGGAGAACCGTACGATGTATGAATCTGGAGTTGGAAGAGGTTCCTAGGTCCTCACATGCCACCACCACTATGTAAGTAATTACAAAAGAGTACCTTCGATACTTCGGCCCTTTACATTTTCTTGGGACAGCTCCCTAAAATGATAAAATATTTGAAAAAAAAGGTAAAAAATAAATTTTTCTATTTCGTCCAAAATATCAGATAATTCGAAAATAAACAAAAACCGAACTTCGAAATGATTTGACAGTTTTGTTTTTAATTTATTTATATTTTTGAAAATTTTGGATTCACAAGTATATTTATACATGTTGTGCTTTTTGTAAAAGGTCCTAGAGAAAATTGTCTTCATTCAAGTGGTCCAGTATTTTGCGCAAAAAATGCTTCCTCAGCATCAATCTGGTCATAGCACATAGTCACTGCCTTATTAAAAACATATCATCGAGCATGTGGATGATCAGTTGAAAACTGATAGACTTCTCCAAGGCCTTTGAAACATTGGGTATACCTCAAGGCTCCGCGTTAGGACCGTTACTTTATTTAGTTTATACATTTGATTTACATGCTTAACTTTAACACTGCGATATTCAAAGTTGCTCAGACGACACTCAGTTGACTGTGTCATTTGAATCATTTAAGTGCGATACAAACGGAACCTATATATAGTTAATATTGAAAACTACTTATAACACAAAAAATTAGAAAGCTTGGGAATACTTTTATGTTAAGGATTTTGTAATATTTTTTAAGTAGCTAGACTCCTAAATAAAGCATTTTCATATATCAACTGACAACTTAAATAATAAAATCGGAGTTAACGATACTTATGTTGGTTAAGACAAAATATAAAATGAAATGGAAATCATAAAAAATGATTTTTCATGAAATGATGGGAACCAAAAAGCACAATAATGCATTAAACAGGACACCAGACATAGCAGATTTAAGTATTATAGTTAGTTTCATGAAGATAAAATAACCGCTAGCTCATAATAGTTATCAACAAAAGGCAGAACATCAAATACGAGTATAACAAACAATATCTCAGATTTTTACTATTTGGAAATACCTTTTACCATCTGTCTAGCTGAACATCGCAATTTTATTTTTTGTGTGTGTATTTGTCGTGAAAAGCTATATTGATAATGAAATCTGGGAATGAGTTTGAATAGCTCATTTTATATAGTGTCTTAAATACAAAATAGGTATCTCGTATTTGGATTTTATTATTCAAGTTGTGCATTAATGTGTACATAAAGTTAGTGTTTTCAACATTGTCTTAGAGCCTTGAAGAAGGAAACACATTCTTCCGAAACGTACACAACCTTTTTTGACCCCAAATTCCAATGAATTGCAAGAAATTTATATAATAATAATAATAATATTTATTCACTCAATGTACAAAGATAACAAACAATATGAGTAAATAAATATAAAATCAAAACAGGCCCAATAGAAGGCATTGCCTGTACATGGACCAATAAATTTAAGTTGAAACTGTAGAATGCAAATGACAAAAAAGGACAAAAATTAGCTACAGTAGATTATGTATGTAGTTAATGTTCGTATTTATGAGTTTATGAATTTCAGTCCTAGATATAGAATGTAGCCACTTTTTTAAATTTCTTTTGAAACAATTTCCGAAACGTAAATCTTTTAAGTCTTTAGGTATAATTTCATAAAATTTAGGCGCTAGATAGAGATATGATCGCTGCATTATAGATTTATGCGGTTGAGGAACTACTGTGCCACGAATTTTATACCTGGGATAATGATTATGTTTACTTTTTTGGTCGGTGTTTACAAATTTATGGTAGTGAGTGATACTGTGTAAGAAATAAAGCTGTCTTATATCATACATTTGAACATCTGCCTATAATTTTTCAGTGGGATAAAGTTTCGGTTTTTTAAATATCATTTTTAGAATACTTTTTTGAAAAACATCTAAATTATAGATATGTGAGGAACATGCAGCTCCCCATGCTAATATATCATATGTGAGATGAGGCTCAATCAGTGCATGGTATAATGTTCGAAGATATTTTTCTGTCAATATATTCCCAAGGTATTTAATTTTGTAGGATACAAATCTAACTTTCTTTAAAATATAGTTGACATGGATGTCCCATCGTAAGTGAGGATCCAAGACCACTCCAAGGTATTTTATGTTGGGCACTCTATTAATTTGCATTTTTTGATCATTAATATTGAAGGAGAAATTTGTGTAATTTGGCAGATGTCTAGCATAAGATCCAAATGGTAAAAAATGTGTTTTAGAGTAGTTAATGCTTAATTTTCTACTGTTAAACCACCGAATAATTTTGATAAAATCATTTTCAATTACATTTTTCAGATCAGACCAGTCAGTGCCTTCATATAATATTGCAGTATCATCTGCAAAACTAGTTATTTTGCCAACACAATTAATTTGGAAAATATCATTTAAATACGTATATATATTGAATAACAGCGGACCTAAGACAGTTCCTTGTGGGACACCACACTCAATATACATTTCTTTACTAAATGATCCTGATATCTGCACAGATTGTGGGCGATTTGACAAATAACTTTCGATCAGTGAGTACACGTTTCCTCTGAAACCAATTCTCTCCAATGCTTCTAATAATAATTTGTGATTAACTGTGTCGAAAGCTTTCTTTAAATCAACAAAAATGCAGATTGAAGGGATTCTGTTATCAATATTTTAATGTATTTGATTTACAATTTTAGTTATTGCGTCCGATGTAGCCTTCCCTTCTGTAAATCCATATTGATTTTCACTTAAAATTTTGAATGTTGTGAGGTATCGAATCATTCTAGTAGATAAAACTTTTTCAAAAACCTTTGCTACACTGGATATTATTGATATTGGTCTATAGTTGTTAACATTTGTTTTTGTTCCTGATTTATGTATCGGTATTATATTACCTTTTTTTAAAATTGAGGGATATATGCCAGATTCAAAGCATTTGTTGATTAGGTAAGTGAGTGGTTCTGTTATGTCCTCGGCTATAATTTTCAAATGCTCGCTTTTAATACCATCGAACCCAGGACTTTTCCGATTTTTTAAGGACATAACAGTGGTGTATACTTCACATTGCTCGACTTTATCCGAAATAAATGAGTTCAAAGTTCTTTTTGAAGGCTGAGTATTTTGTACATTTGCTTGTATATTACTTGCTAAATTTTCGCCTATGTCAGTAAAGAATTGTACAAATTCATCGCATATCTGTTGAGTATTTTTTAATACTGTTCCCGATGTTGTATTTAACTCAGTGACACACTCTTTAACTTTTGTTTTCCCAGTAATCTCATCAATAGTTGTCCAAAGCGGTCGTTAGATGAATAATTTTCTATGGAACAAATCTTCTAATTCTAATTTGTTTCAGTATATTTGGTCCTAACAGAAACATAATTCTTGCACGTGTACAAATGGTTAAGGAACAATAAGGCGTACGTATGACTTATGAAGATAATTGCCTAGCCAAACTTGTAAAGCATCGTCTAAATCTGTATTTGTCTTCGAGATAAGGAATCCGTGAAAGCCATTGTAAACAAGATTATGCAAGTGCATATTAGCTTATACATTTATGCACAGTGGTTGTGAAAGACATCATCTTATCTTCTGTCAGAGATCTCTACCTGTACATCAATCATCGCGTAAGCGAGAATATGAATCGTGGGCGTATGGAAAAAATATATGAAAATATGCCGAAAATTAGTCCTCTGAAGAGAAACTTGAATAGGCGGTTCGAAACATATCCTTAATTTTGCTATAAGATTTAGAGTTAGAGACAACTCCAATATAATGAAAACTATCAAACCAAACCTTCGCTGCACGTGCTACTTAATTTTGTTGAACGGAGTGAAATGTTTTGTGTGTAACAAATTGATAGAAATTGGCAAAACAAAATAAACATTGCACTGAAATGGGTGGTTCCAGCCACATACGTTTGCCAAATGCATTAACGTTGATGTGACGTTGAAAATCTAAGTATAAGTTAAACATAAACCGTTAGTATTTTCATGCCAGCGAAGAATTAAGGATATACCTTTTCTGTAATTGTAATTTGCTGCGAAGTTTATTTTTGTCAAAAAATAACTGAAATGTGTATAGTCAAACCTATACCTATGTATAACTGGCATTTCAAGGACGTGGGGCGTTTGATCACTCATAAGGGCTTTCAATAGGCTAGTGACACTGTTTTTTAAATAGACCTTGTCCTATTAGACCAAAAAAATTATTACTATACTTTTACCTTAGAGACTGTCAAGCGTTAATTTGAAAATATATTTTTCTTAGAAAGACTAAAACGATGCCCTCCATGTTTGGCCCATATTAATGTGCTTTGACGTCATACCATTTGTAAACACCATCTGACAGGAGCATAACCTCTCAAACTTTTAAACATATAAACATAATTTCTACTAGTTTATATGAAAAATATAGTAATTATAGTTATTGTATCGTCCGAGAATGTAAAAACTTATCGATAAAGACCACAGGAAAGCTGTGATCGTTTTTTCAATAAAACGAGAAAACGATAACTTTTTACTTTGATTAAGAATATTTTAGAGATAATTAAAGAAGACAACGTTAGTCCACGAGTGACATACGGATGACGTTTCCTTGTTTACATGTTGTATCATGGCCGATAATCCAAATATCTTCACCATTTTTTATTAAAAATAAAGAATATGTTTTTTAAATTGGACATATGTTCATCTTGCGCTTTTAAAAAATGAAATCGATATATGGCATTTCCTTTTCATGAGGCAAATACCTCACGAAATACCCATTTATTCTATGAAATTAGATATGAGTCAAGTAGCCTATTCATCCAGTTTACCAAATAGACAGCAGTTGTCTTATACAGGGCGTTTCAGAAACAAAAAACCCATATAAATATAGTCCCTTAAGTGTTTCATTACCAAGTAGGAAATGTGTTGTAAGTCTATCCGCTACTGATGAGGCTAAATAAAGACGAAACATGACTAGAGTTCAAATAACGCTGTGATGACGTAGGATTACGCTCCTAATACACTACAGTAACGTATTATACGAATAATA